TATGATCCAGCAATCCCTCTACTGAGTATTTACCCCAAAGACTTGAAAACTCATATTCGAATGCATATCCTCCGGTATACTTTAAATCATCTCCAGATTACTTATAACACCTAATACAATGTAAATGTTATATAAATAGTTGTTATACTGTATTGTTGAGAATAATGACAAGAAAAAAAGTCTGCTCGAGATAATCATGCTAAGCGAAATAAGCCAGACAGAAAAAGTTGAAAATCACATGATATCACTTACATGTGAGATATAAATCTAAAAGCAACAAATGAGTAGGACAAACAAACAGAGACTCATGGACATGAACTATAGGCTAGTGGTTACCAAAAGACTATAGACTAGTGGTTGGTAGTGGGGTGGGGGAGAAGGGGGGAAGTAGATGGGGTAAAGGGGTTAAATATAGGGTTTAGGGGGAGGGTGAAGTGCGTGAAGGGGATCAAATATATGGTAGCTGAAGGAAACTGGACTTTGGGTGGTAAACACACAATATAATATACAGATGTCAAATGATGATATACACCTGAAAATTATATAATTGTATTAACCAATGTTACTCTAAATAATTTAATTAAAAATTAAAATAAAAAGACAAAGGCCTAAGTAATTCATTGACAGTCAAGAATTGGATATCATTTCCAAACCCCAAGAATGGGGTCAAGCTGAATAAGCAGAGAAATGATATGTAAAGTTAGACACGCTTTGATGAGGCCATCCCAAACAGGCAACACAGTAACACCTCACCCCTCACAGCAGAAATAACAATTCATCATCATATGCTACTACCTTTTTTATTTAAGAATAGCATTTAACAAGCTTATTTTAGCATCTGATTCATTATTATTTTTAGGAAATTTAAAGGCCTTAAATCTTCCCCATACTGTGCATGATTACACCTAATTAAAGTTCACATCTTTCGCAGAAAGGTGGAACATCAGTTCTAATTTTACATACTAGTGTGATCGAGAGCATAAAGCATCAGATTGCAGGTCAGGAGACCCAGGTTCTATTTCTGACTTGGTCGCTGCTTTTCTTTAATGCTACACTTTTTCCAACCCTAATATATGAGCAGAGTTCATTAGAACTTGTCAGAGTTCACTAGAATAAATTATGCCACCAGCATTCGTTTTTAAACTATTGAGCCCATACTATGTGCTGGACACCATCCTATTTGCTGGTATTCATTAACTAGAAAGGCATGATTCCTAATCTCAGAAAGCTTACAATTGTTCCAAATATTTTTACTGCTATCAAATCACTGATACGACATTCTCAAGAACTGCTGAGGATACTTGAAGTCAGTAAGTCAACCAAGTCAACAAATATTTGTGCAATATTTACAGTGTGCAAGGTATTGTTCAAGATGAATGGAAGGAAAAAAATAGTTCCTCACTAGACCTATTACACTGTGTCCCCAAAGTCTAGCATAGTGTCCAGTACTCAGCAGGTACTCAATATATTTGTGAATAAAAAAAATTATAGTCTTCACTCTCAAGGGATTAGAATCTAACAAGGAATGTAAAGCACCAGAGTGCATCTATGCATTGGCCACAATACATCACAGCATGTTATAAAAAGACATGAAAGATACAAAAGAATTAAAGGCAGGAACTCAAACAGATACTTGTATACTAGAGGTCACAGCAACATTGTTCACAAGATCCAAAAGGCAGAAATCATCCAAATGTTTATCAATAGGTGAATGAACAAAATGTGGTATATCTATACAATGGAATATTATTCAGCTTTAAAAAGAAAGGAAATTTTGGCATGTTACAATATAGATGAACCTTGAAGAGGTTATGCTAAGCGAAATAAGCCAGACACAAAAGGCCAAATATTGTATGATTTCACTGATATGAGGTACTTAGAACAGGCAAATTTGTAGAGACAGTAAGTGGTGGATACCAGGGACTTGGGGAATAAGTAATGAGGAATCTGTATTTAATGGGTAGAGAGTTTCTACTTGGGATGAGGAAAAAGTTCTGGAAATGGATAGTGGTGATGATTGCGCAACAGTGTGAATATACCTAATGTCACTGAACTGTACCCTTAAAAATAATTAAAATGGCAAATTTTCTTACATATGTTTTGCCACAATAAAAAAAAAATGATAGTTATAAAAGGACATGAAGGAGTTTGGGAGGCAATAACATCTGCCTGGTTTAACCAAGATGGGGGTTCCTAGAAGCGATGTATTTGTGCTTGCTCTTCCTTTTAATGCCTACAAATCAAAGTTTTCACTGTTAATAATAAAAAGCATGCACTTTTCATATGGTTCACCAGTTTTATATAACTCTTATACAAAAAACTGATAAGGGTGGTTGCTTCTGGGGAGAAGCATTGGAAGTCTACAGGTTTAGGGATCTATCTAATGGTCTGGGGTAGGAAATGACTTAATTTTCACTGCACATTTTTTTTATTTAACATATTAATATTAGAATATATTTGAAAACAAATGACTCCTGATCTTCTTTACAAAGATTCCGTAAGTGTGGTCTGAAAAATATACAAATTGTCTTAGGCCACTTGTAGGTGTTCTCCATCTCTGATTGCTGTGGCCGCTTTGTCAGCCCTGCTGTGCTGTCCTCTACACAAGATGCTGTACACGCTTCAGTTCTGCTATTTTGCCATAGTTCCCACTAGGAATGTCAGCCCCAAGAAGACAGAGCTGTCCTATCCACAGGTGTATTTCCAGAACTTAGAACAGTGCTTGACTTTCAGTAACTACTCCCTTAACTATGTCACTGAGTTTACTCAGCAACATTTATTGAGCACCTGGTATGTGCTAAACACCTTTCTAAGCACTGGAGACACCTCAGAACAAAACAGATAAAAACTGCTTCCTTGTGGCACTTACAGTTCTCTTTGCTGAAAGCCTGCTGCTCCCTTGGAGAGTACTCTGTTTTCTACATTTTACCTTTTCATCTCCCAAATCCCACAGACCTGCAGCCTTCTTAGCATGGCCCACCTTCTAATAATGTACTTTACTTTCAAAGATCTTACTTTTTCTAAAAAAAAAAAAAAAAAAAAAAAAAAAAAGCTTCCTTGTGGCAATTACATTCTATTATGGGAGAAAGAAAAACAAAAAATAAATAGTAAATCAATCATTCGATGAAAAACTAATCCAGTATGTTACCAGGGAGAGGTGCTATGGAAAAAGAGAGTAGGGTAAAGGGGGCTGGGGGACTCATTGGAGAGAAAATGAGCAGAAGGGAAAGGGGTCACAGTTTTAAATAAACAGGTAAAAGTTAGCCCTTGGAGAAGACAACATTTGAGCAAAGACTTAAAGGTGGTGGGAAGGGAGCCATTCAGATATCTCAAGGAAGAGCATTCCAGGCAACTAGTACGATGAGGGAACAGATAGTACAAAGGCCCTACGGCTTCAAGGAATAGTATTGAAGACACTGAGCATAGAAGAAAGTGAGCAGGTGGGAGAGAGGTGTAGGAAGAGGTCAGAGATCTTGAAACTTGTAAGTCTCAGTTCTTTGGCTATTATCCTGAGTGACATGGGGAACCACTGCAGGGTTTAGAGGAGAAGAAGGACAGGATGTGGTTTTAATTTTAGAAGAACACTCTGGCTGCTGTATTGAAAACAGATTACAAAGGAACAGGAATGGAAGCAGAGAAACTAGTAAGGAGACCTGCAATAATTCAGGTAAGAGATGGTTAAAAACTTAGACCAAGTTGCAACAAGAGGTGGGGAAAAAAGGATCAGATTCTAGATATACTTTGAATGTAGAGGCAAGGAGATTTGTCAGCCAACTGGATATGGGGTATGATAAACAAACAAAAAAGTCCCTTGGATGACTCCAAGTTTTTGGCCAGGGCTAGTGGGAAACTATAGGTGGGGCGGGCTCAGAGGGAGGATCTGAGTGTGTCTGTTTGAGGTGGGAGAAGTCTATCAGACATTCAAGCAGACATGTCATACAGACAGTTGGATATACACACCAGAAAAGTTCTGGGTGAGGTACATAAACTTTGGCGTCATCGTGAATATATGAAGAAAAGGGAGGCCCTGAACAATGATAAAACATATTTTCCTTTTTTCAAAGAATCTTAACATTTTGTAGCTGAAGTGACTTCCAAAGAACAAGACCATTTATCAAGAAAACAAATTAAAACCTCTCTGATGGTTTCTAAATTTTCATTTTAAAGCAACGTCTCGAAAAATGGTCTGCAGATGCCCTGAATCAAAATAAAACCAACTTTTGTAATAAGCACTCTTAGTGACTTTCAAGCATAATTCAAATCTGAAACTCACCCCCTATGTGTGTGTGTAACTGTGGCATACAGTGTCATTTGGAAGTTTCTACTTTCATACCTATACTGACATCTAAGTGTGGGTTACACATGATGGGCACAGCCTAATGACAAAGGAATCTCTGATAATCCAATTCATTTTATAATAGCCACAGACTGGCACATGCAACATGGGATTTATCAGTATTTAAGGAAATATATTTCTGGGCAATCTTCTGAATCATTTCCCACATCAGCTCTATTGCAACCCTGATCGTTCACCTTTAAGATGGCTATCCCTTGCTATGAGTTATAACTTTGGTTTGGATGAGCATGTTTCAGGAAGGAGGCTGCTGCTTCTCAGCCATACAGATTCCCTGGTGTCAACATTTAAAAATTGTATACCCATGACGGTTTTTCGGTTCCTTGTAATCTCGCTTTTTTTCTTTTACTATTTTTTGCATGCTGATGAAGTTTAAGAGCACACGAAATTATACTATAGTCTGATGAACCTAAAAGTCCTTACAAAGAAATTGGTTACTCAGAGAAACAAATACAGCAGACACGTAAAAGGATTACCCAGGTACCCTTTCAGGGAAATGCTAGTTCCAGGAGACTGCGCAAACACTTTTAACAGGTTTCTTGAGTAATCATTATCAGGCCCAGTTTAACCTATAGTAACTACATAATATTTTCAAAATTTCTGGACCAGGGAAGCTATAAACCCAAATCTCTCTTCAAATAGTTTTTCAGAATGTGTGGTAGCTGTTCTCTGATTTGGATTCTAGCGCTGCTGCTACTTTATCCACCAGTAGCTCATGATTGTTGGCCTGGCAAAGAATGGTGTTCCAGTACATGGCCTTCGCATGTGGGTTTAGCTTCAAAATTTCTCCGGTTTTTCAGTGGATTCTTCTTTAGGACTCTGCGATGAATCTTCTTGCGTGGTGCTTGGAGGGCTCTTTGGATCTCTGGGCTTTTCAAGATTCTGCTAAGGTCTGTATTGAGCATCTTATGCCTGGGAAGATTGTAAAGAGAGGCAGCTTTATGCCAAGTATCATATGGATGACCTAACTTGCAGAAAGCACTTTTAGTCCAAATGCAGAAATGGCTCACATGCCCCCTAGGGGCAAGTTTCAAAATGTTCAGTTTGCTGACATTATGCAGAGTAATTCCAGGAATGTTTCTGAAGGCTTTGATGATGCCATTGTCCTCATTATAGATGATGCAAGGTCCCTTGCACTGGATATGACTACAGTTTCTCATTTTGCCCTTGCCAGCTCTTATTCGCTGAGAGGCAGAGACCTTTTTGATATCACTCCAGGCCTTAAGTTTCTTAAGAAGTAAGACAGCCTCCATCTTCTTGTAGCCTTCAACTTTAGGCTAAGCACCCATTCTAAGCACCCATTCTAGCCTGGACTCTGGTAGTGGTAGGAGGAGAGCACAGTGGATGCCCCAGTCCAAAGACAGTAAGTAGTCAGAGGACAGAGTTCCCTGGGGAAGTCACTCTGCCTCGCTGAACATAAACCAGAAGGGGAAGCAGCATCAAATGAAGAACACTGACTTTTTCTAATGAAACTCATGAGCTCATGACTCTTGCAGACAGCAAGTTTCTAAGTTATATCATTTTTCATGTCCCACTGGTTACTACTAAACAGATCAGAAAGGACTTCTTGAATATTGAGATATCCTTCAAACTTTTACCTTCTACTTTATTTAGATCACATTTCATTCAGATCTTGTTTCCTCCTGGGATACACTAGATCTTATTTCCAAAATTTTGAGCTAGATGATTTCCCCGCTTTTTCTACACATGGGAGGAAACACATGGCCATGAAGAGTATTGGGATCAGTATTAGTGTATGATGGGAAGAGATCAAATACCTATGCTGGGGGTACATTACAATGTCTGGGAAGTTCTACCACACTTTTTATATGCATTCCCATGATGACATTTTTGTCTCTTCAGTTATATTAACATCCTGTGGTCTTTCTATAGCACTTGGAGTTCTGTTGTATTAGGCATTTACCAAATATTTGTTGACTCACGATCTATGCAAACTAGAAAAGGGAAAAAATTATGATATCCTATCATGTGTCCACTTTCAAGGCTGCAAATATTATGAGATGTCACAGAGGCTTAGTAGAAAAGCTGCAATATGCAGTTTTTATATATGACTAATTTGGGAGCTGTAAACAAGGAGAAAAATATAATGTAACAAATGTTCTCAATTATTTGCTTAGAAGAAATTATGATTTGTAATGTATTGATAGTGTCTGCTAAATCAACTGTTATTAAATATATTATCAAAGGAATAAATCCTTTTGTTGCATATTGTAAAAAAACAGCTTTAAAACAGATTCTAAGAGGAAAGAGAAGAGAAATGATATTTGGTAAAATATTCTTTGTAAAACAGCATTTGTCATTTCCTCTTTATTTTACAGCTGTTAAAGGACAATGAAAAAAAATAAAAACTAAGAGTCTCTAATTATTTCAAACTATATATATTTATATAAAATTATGTAACACTGTCTTATTTAGCAATTCTTTTTACAACAGCTATATGATATAATTCACAGAATTGCCTCAGAAGGATCTGTAACTGCTCTAGAAAAAACTTGGAAAATAACTGAATTCCTCCACAGGAACATTTCCAATAATTAGCCTATTATGATGAACTAGGATGCTAACTAGACTTACTAGGGCAAACATTTCATGATATATACAATAATCAAATTATTATGTTGTATATCTGAAACTAAAAGAAAACTCAAGCTAATAAAATGCAAGAGCAGAGAAAAATAGGTATAGAAAAGACTAGGTAAATAGAAAGTATAAATTAAGATAGAAATAAATATATCAAGTTAATAAAGTTCACCTCATAGATAAGGAACTGACTCATAGAGAGGTGAAATGACCCACCAGAGCCACACACAACTAGAGTGGCAGAGATGGAGCCAGAACCCATCTCCTGACTGCCCCTCTAGGGTTCTTTGCAAAGTGTGTTTAAATAATTTATGTCTGACTCACAGAACTCTAAAATTGAGAAATCATGTTAGCCCATTTTTCAGATGGCGGGGATGATCCTTTGGGGAATTTGTCCCTAGGTAATCAGGCCAGAAATCACTAAGACTCATTCTCAGAATGATAATTACTAAACATACCAGCAATGTTATTATATTTTATTCTACTTTACCTTCCTTACATTGAAATTCTCTCACTAGCTTTCTCTGACGCAACACTGAACTAAAAAACACAAAATTGTCCCAATTTAAATCTTTCTTTAAAACTTTCTATAACTGTAATGATCAAAACTATTATTAGTTGTACATCAGGAAAGACACAGATAAGCTGATCTGCAATCGTTCATTCTCAAGACTGAGAATATAACATATTTATAATAAATATAAATATTTTATAAATATATCTTATCTTCTTCTCTACAAGACTTTTTTCCAAAACAACTAACAAATATTAAAATGAACTAAACCTTGCTCATTCTCTACTGTACTTTCCATTTCTCAAAGTAGTTTAATGGTAAGGAAAGAAAAAAAAAACCATCATGAATAACCTACAAAAAACAATCATCCTCCTCCATGGTATTAAAAACTGATTAGCATTTGTGTAGTCAGTCTCCTTGCGCACACAGAGAGCGATTTGTATGTGGAATTATACAACCAGCCCAGGAAATAAGATAAATAAATGACTCAGGAAGAGGGGCAGGTTTGCAAAATGGAATGGATATATTAGTCAAAAACTTTAATCAGCAACCAGGAAAGGAAGTGCTATATAAGAAAATAATATTGAAGCACTTGAAGAGTATAGATTTTTATCAAAAGGATCACAGAGATGAATCATAAAGGCCACCTAGTCAAAATTCTTCAAAACTCTGAGACCTAAACTATATCTCCTTTGAAATCCACAGGCTTTCCAGAAAAGGGAACCCAAGGGACCCACCATAAGAAGTCAGCTTCCCCAACTGAAAATTCACACCATCTTGGATAATGAGGCAAATGAAATAAATACTGGAAAATACCAGGGACATTATTTATACATTTTAAATAATAAAACATATTTAGTTCTTGTGGGAAAGTACACATGCCACAAGCAACTAGATCTTGTGCATTATCAAGTGGTCAGGGAGCTAGGCAAGACTGCAGTGCACTCTTGGATGCTGACAAGGATACAATGACATTCCTTCTTTGCACTAAGAGGTTCTTTCCTTTGGCAAGCAAAAGCACCTAGAAAAAGAAAAGTGTTGGCTACAGAATTTATCATATATGTAGTTATATTTTTAGTATTTCTATTCATATTTTTCATAGATGTGTTCTAAAAACTAATGGGTTAATAATGCTTAGAAACAATTCTCAGTTAAGACATACCAATAACTTCCTGTGTATTATTGATATTGCTGATGTGGGGAATTTAAAAGAAAAACTGGATTAATATATGCTCACACACGGTCTATGGTTATAAAGACAAATTGAAGCCTGTGTGACAATGAAGTTGCTTTCCTGAGGGAAAAGGTACTCAGGACTCAGTTGCCTAATCCAGAGTAAATCACTATAAAGTTATTTATAAAAATAAATAACTTATTAAGAGAAACCCAAAAAGATTTCTGACATTGCAATTTTACTTTCACAAATTAAAATAGAAAAAGATAATTTAATAAATACATCTATATTTTTTTGTTATTAGAGTGAGTGCAAATATCTCTAAAATTCTGGAACTTCAGTTTTCCATTTTACATCAATCTTTCATTCTGATATTGAACTCCTTATAGAAGTAAAATCTAAAGCCTAACACCAATCTCATTCCTTTGGGATTTGGTGATAAAGTCTTATGAATAAAAACCATCAGCCAGTGGTGCTTATTTGTCTTACAAGTGATAAGATTTTGGCAAATAAAGAAAACTGCATTTGCCAATTTTTAAAAAACAGAAACCATTGTGTATTTTATAGAGAGCAAAACAACTAAGACAATTCCAAAATGCTACCATCATTTTTACTACCCTAAAATCCAAAGTACTTTTTACACAGATGTACAATGTTTGATAGTTATGTTTTATCTGCTTCTGCACTAACTACACAAAAACCTCACTGCTATACCTTCTTTGTTCTCTTTTAAAACAAAATAATTGATTTTTGTACAGGTTTCTGACTAAAACTGAAGCATGTGAATACACAGCTTTTGTCTATAATTAAGAAATTTTCAAAATTAAATTTTCTTTTCCAGTACTTCCAATTTAAAATTATAAATCAGTAAAAATGAACTATGTGAATAATGTGTTGTAAGGGCTCTTTTCTGCTCGTTATCGAATTACTGGCACATTGAATTTCCTAGACAAAAATACTCAAAATAACTATGCTGAAAAATATGGTTGAATATTCCAACAATTTCTACTACCAAAAAAAAGGGGCAACTAGAAAATATTTAAAGTAAATCTAAGTTAATGCAGTACCAAAAGAACAAAGAAATTGCTTACAAAAATGTTCTACTGACCATAGTTACAAAAAAGTTATTACCTTCTTGTTTCTGGTTTTAGGGGGGAAGGGGAGGAATCTCCCTATGGGTTCACTTTTGTTAATAAAAAACTTCACAATAGTTGCTACAAAAATATAATTATTGCTTCTTCTTTCCTGTACCTCATTTTTGCCTTTTTTGAGGAATGTTCTTAAGGTTGTAGAAAGATAGCTAAGATGAAAAATAGGAATGGGAAAGAAATATTTGAAAAACAAACATAAGGAGCACTATCATGCCATGTGAGTAAAAAGAATTGTTTGGGGCCAGATCACAAACATCCAAGACCAAGAACATTCACATTTTGTTAGGTAGAAAAGGGAGTTTTTGACAAAAGTGACTTGTCCAGATCCATGCAAGGTAAATCTTTAGGACTGGCCTGTAGAGAGACCTGAGGCAAAAATACTGTTAAAATGCTTCTGGGCTAGCAACCTGGATGTCAGTTGGGGTCCTGGCAGGAAACAGGTAGCAGCCCAGCTGGGTAATTTAAGAAAGATCAACAAAGGGAATATTTCCAAGATATGGGCATAATTTAAGGAAACTCAAAAAGAAGAGTGCTGCAATGGCAAGAGCCATGACCACTCCAAGCCTGAAGGAACCAGGGGAATAGTTAGAGGAGCTGGGAGAGGGTGGCTGCAGGGAGAGAGCTGCCCAACTGGAGCTGTGGCCTTTTAGAGGAACCAGCCAAACCCCACAACCTGCAGAGGGCTGGGGGCATACATGCCCTCACCTCACTCTCTTCACACCCTCAGATCTTCTGTCACTGCCTCTTGCTGGCTGCTCCCAGCTAGAAGCCAGGGGCAGAGAGCAGAGTGGAGTGAGGGAGGATCTAG